TATTAGAAATTATTTTTAGATCTACTTGCCCATTTCTTCTTCTTAACTGCATTTTGTCACCTCTGAAAAGACATGCTTGATCTTGCCGGGTTGCCGGTGGAAAGAAAGGACTAATGATGGCAAGAGCCAAAACCAGAGCTGTTGTGGGTGGAAAAAAACCAAGAGGTGTTGTTGGCTCATTTTCAGTTTTCTGGTCTCTTGGGGAATCTGTGGAGACACTGGTGTGGCTCCACAGATTTGATGCCAGTTCTTGTTCTGAGTTTGGGCTTAAATCAAACGTGCAGCGATTCCTCATGGCTTTCTCAGAGCAACGGTTTATTTTATTTTTTGCATTTATGCAGTCTTTTCTGATTGTACAGGTGTGCACTTTTGATATGAAAAGCAGCAAAATCCCTCTGTTTTACCCATTATGAGATTTTTTTTATAGATTTCTTTTTAGCACCACATGTGAAAATTGTAACTCTTTAGTCTTTCTTTAGTAAATAGCCAGAAATTTGGGTGTATGAAACCTGATGGAAAGTTGAGAAATAGTCTAGCCTTCTTGCTGCAAGTGGTCGTTTGTCGTTTGTCCGAGGAACAAAGGGAAAGTTATATTGAGTTGTAGCATTTTAAAACGAAGATGGGGTAATTCCAGAATGGCAAAAGATCACATTTTCTTACTTTTGGCTCACTTTTAACCACGATTGATTTGTCTGGTAATCAGTGCACAAGCCTAAACATGAGCTCCTTTCTCTGTGCGTCTTTAATTTGTGTAGATTAAAATTGATTTGTGCTAAATGAATGTTCACGTCCACCTTTGTCTTCATCCTTTTGTTGCAACTCCCCCCCCCCCCCACAAGCAAGAAAAACACCTACATGTGAACCTTTCTGTATTTAACAACTATCCATTAAGTTATAAACATCAATCATCAGACAATAACATTTAGTTAACCTCCAGTGGTGTCTAAAAAACATGTTTTTGAAAAAAATTACCACCCAGTCTTGTTGAATCCTTTCTGAATCCCTCCTGACCTGCCAGCTACTCCATCTGGCTGGCTGTTGTGATGAGCTTTTAGAGAAGCAGACCCCCGTAATGCTGCTAGCCGAGGCTTGTTTTCATGGAAAAGTGGTATGCGTGTTGTCGTTTTTGGGGGATTGTGAAATGCATGATTTTGTGTCTTTGTTAACTGACTGGCAGGTGGATAAGCCGGTGGACTTGTACCTTGGGCCTGGAGGGTGTGAAAACATTGTGGCTTTGAGTTGAAGGTTGTCCTGAAGCTACAAATGGACCTAAAGCTTCAGAGGATTTTCACTGAGAAAATGTTAGCAGCAGCCATACAGACGGTGCACATATTGCCGGTTTGCTGCTGTTGAACGGCGTTTGACTGGTCGCTACAGATGATGGACATTTTCATTAAACCCGTCTAGTCTTCATCCCTTAATGTATAAAATAAATTTGAAGACATTTATTATGGTCTAAACACAATTATTATTAAACTAACGTCACTTTCAAGAGTGAAAATGTTTAAGAAATAAAGTGCAGACAGCCTGTTGAATACAAACTACAAAGCGACTCAAAGGAAACAGCTGAAGTCTTTCACTTTGCTGTCCAATGTTAGTTTTACGTCAGATTTGCCTCCATTACTGCCCTCTTCATTTTGGATTGTTCATTTAAAAGCTCCTCTGTAAAAATTTCTCCATTTTAAGCTGAACTTTATTGTCGTTGTAATGGGGGTATAAATCGCAAAACGCCTGATTTCTTCATTTGTTACACATTAAATGGTTATTTTGTATTAATGGGGTCAACATGTTTTAGACCAAATACTCAATAATGGAGAAAAAAACAGCATTTTTTTAAAAAAATTTTCTGCATCACGTATTTTCCTGTAAAGGGGGACGCACGTTTTGGTTAACGTACTTGTCAGATGCCTGTGCCAAGCTGTAAAGTCTACATGAGGTCCTCTTATGTTTATTTGCAAGTTTTTGTCTTTGTGATGTGGGAGCTGCTGTTTTTTAGATCGCCAGTTTATGTCTTTTATACGGGGGCTTGCAGGATTCCCCCAAGAGAAATGCCTTGGGAAATCATTTTCATGTTCAAAAATCCTGTTTTTGGGGAGCGTGGGCCGCTTCCAGCAGCGAAACGACTCCTGTAGTGTTTAGCAAGTCATACGGACAAAAATTAGCTTAAACAAGCGAAGCTGCATGGTCTGCTGCCTAACAGCCTGGTTAGTTTATTGCTTTGATCTCTAAAACTGGTATAAATTTCACAGAACTTGCTAAATAAATAAGCTGAATCCATGGGCCGCGTCACTTTATATGAACCAGGATATCTTCTGATGCCAAACGTGGCTTTTAAAGCGACGTCGTGTAAAAGCAGGTGAAAGTTGATTTGAGTGTGAGATCTTGGCGTCTCCTCTCTATGCATCTGCCAACCCATTGCCTGTGCACCCCCCACGCACGCACGCACACACACACACACACACACACAGCAAATTGATAGGCTTCCCTTTGCATGTTCGTGAAGATGACAATGGTGCAGGTCAGGTTACCTACATCATTAGTTCTGCCTCAGGACACACACACACATACACACACGCGGAGCGCTCCAGGAGAGAAGATGGACCGGACCACCCCAGAGCCATCGCCGGTGGGGATTACTCGAGTATCCCAGAATGCACTGTTTACCAGCAGGAGCGTCTGTACTGTCATTTGACCTGCAGCTCCTCTGACCCATTAACAGTCAGAAACTCTTCTCTTTCATGACTTTGGAGGAAAACGTTCTTTTTGTTTTAGCGATAAAAAGTAGTTGCGTTTCCCGTCTGGTTTCAGTGTCGATTTCAATGTCCCCTTGGTCAAAATACTGCACTTAAAGAAGACTGGACACCAAATACCAGTTGGAGGGTTTGTGTTGGGTTATAAAACATGCCAAACTTTGCACATCTCATAGAGAAATGTTCAGGCGTCGTCTGAAAGTTAAGAGTATGGCTCAAACTGCAAACCTAGGAAGTAATGGCAGCCACCTGAACTTGACAGGCCATTAATCAAGGTGGTTAACTTTGGTTGAACCTCAGAGATCACCCAATAGTTCTGTACATCAATCTGGACTCTATGGAAGAGTGAAGATGACGGCCATTGTTGAAGAAAGCCAGAATATGTTCTGTCTGGGGTTTGCTGCAAGCCTTGTTGGAGATGGACATGCATGCATGTGGAAGCAGGTAGTCTGGTCAGATGAGACCAAAGTGTGGACTCAAATCTGCGGTGGAACTTGTAAATTGATGTCCTGACGTTTTCCATCCAATTTGACTGACTTGAGTTGGCAAAATGTTCAGTCTGTAGATTTGCAGAGTTGGCGTCCCAAAAATTTTGCAGCTGGAGTCGCAGCCGTAGATGGTTGTATGAAGTATTGCCACACTTTCCAGCTTTTTAATTTTCTTCTTAAAAACATGTATAAGATTTTTCCACTCCACTGTGAGACACAGACTTGTCTAAATGTCATAGAGGTCTGCAACCTTTTACAACCTAAAAAGCCATTTTTTTTTTTTTTTTTTTGCTTTCAGGCCAGTTAAATATAACTAGTTTAGAGCCACTACAGTCACATGACAGCTTATGATTTTTAGATGCTTAGTCACTCTAGGAAATTTGGTGTCATTTCTAAAGAGCCACCATTTTATGTATATTTTTAGGATTTTAATAAAAGATTAATGTAATTTTTGCAAGAAAAGGATGGATTTTTTTTATGTAGGACAGAAAGCATATAGATCCCAATCTGATGAGAAAAAACTGATCTAAAAACATATTAATTGTACTTTTGATGTCATTCTTTGCAAAAAATTAAATGCAATTATTGCTTATTGCTAATACCTACATTTGTTACATCTGGATTTAAAAACATTAGTCGGTTCTTTATCATTGTTGGTCAAAGTTACTGTTGCAGAATGTCCAAAGAACCAATTTGTGGTTACGGAGCCGCAGGTTGAACACCTATGGTTTAATCATCTAGACTCTCACTAAAATCAATTGAAGCTGGCTGCAAAGTGATGAAATGTGCTAAAGTTCAGAGGGTGTGAATATTTTCATAATTATGTAGTGTGTTGGCCTTATTCTCGGGGGGTAAAAAATGGGGCCCCGCTACCTGTTCACTCCCACTGCTGGTGGCACTGGCTGCATTTTATTTGACCTTTTCTTCCCCTTTCTTTGAGAAAACAAGCCTGGCCTTTTTATCCTAATCGGGCCATCAAACCCCTCTGTGCTTTTATGTCCTAATTAGAGGGTAAAGCTGCAGTGGAGTCTCTCGCTGCGTGCCGCTTCCAAATGTTTGGTTGCTTAAGGGTGGCCCGGTTTTGTCCTGATTGAAAGCGATGACCAGGAAACATAAACACACGTCGCTGAGGAGCACCAGTGGGTTCAAGATCCAAGTCCACGAGTCGCTGCAGCGCGTGTGGGTGAGAAGCTCCAAACGGAGAGCCCCGAAAGATGGCTCTGGCGAAGTCGTCCTGCCGATCGCCCAGCTTCCCCCACCCCCGCTCCGCGCTTCGGAGGGTCCGGTTTCACTCCGTCTAGTCTGGTGTTTGTTTTAAATTTATTCACCACAGGTTTGCAATCACTGCTTAATTTCATGGCTTGATGTTTCAGTTTTACCTAATGCCAATAGCATTTGTGGCTTTTGTTTTTTAAAACCAAGTTCACACGCATTCTGTTCGAGGAAGGGTGGCGAACGAGCGCTGAAGCCCCGTTTGAACGCTCCGGTAAATGAGCCAACCTGACATTGACGGAGTTTCAGATTAAAGCAAAGCTAAGTTGAGCGAAGGGAGTGCAGCAGAGAGCGTAATTTAAACCATGCCGTCTTAATCTCACTCTGCTGTTGTTTTCAATAACAATGCAGGCATGGAAACCAGAAAACTACAGTCCAATTTGTGTCTGGAATTGACTGGACAGGTTGTTTTTGCTTTGTGATGGAACTCATTTGGATCATCTGACATTGGACACGCCGACGTCTGATTCTGCTTCCGTGTCCCATCTAGGATCCCCTCCTCGCCGAGATGCTGCAGAACAACAAGGACCAGCTCGTGTGTTATCACGAACACGACTCCCTGCTGGACCACAAGGAGGAGGAAGCCCTCAGCGAGGAGGACCGCAAGGCGGCCTGGGCCGAGTACGAAGCAGAGAAGAAGGTGAGAAAACGGCAGCTCACACATGGCGTGGTCAAGAATGAAATTTCTTTGGTGTTTTCCTGGTCTGGAGAAATAATATACGGTATCCCTTTCATTGCTCCAAAACTCAGCGTAGATTTTTTTTTTTACTTGATAAATTGTCTAGAAAGGACAGAACTCTGCAAACAAATGTGTAATTTTAAAGCCTCAGCCGTCGTCTCCTCCGTTGTTGTTGAAAACCCTGACGTCACAGCGCGAATTGGAGCCACTGAGAACCTGTTTTTGTTTATGAATGTTAGATTGCTTGGCCTATCATCGCCCACAGCAAGCAGACGACAGGAACTGCTGCTGCTGGTTTGGGTTCAGCTTTTTAAATCTCTAAAGTTGGCTAAGCAGTGCCAAAGCTTGTCAAAGTGAGGATGTCGGTTCACAGAAGGTTAGAAACTCCTCGCTCTCTGTCTCCATTGTTCTCCTCTCCTTTCCTGCGGGGCAATTAGCGGGGTTTATTTGGAGAAGTGCAGAAAGGGGCTAATGTTGTACAAGGGCAAATCTTCCCTCCCCTCTTAATCCTAGATTCTAATTCACCCTAATGGTTATTTTTCCAACACCCTGTTCTCTCTCTCCTGTCTGGTGTGTGCAACAGCAGCGTTTCCCTCAGAGCTTTTGTGCTTTTCAGTAAATCGGAGAGTTTACTGAAAACATGGATTCTGGGGTCAAATCATTAATGTTCACACTTCTACCATCTCTGCCACAGTAAAGATCCATATATTGGTTCCTGATAAAACGATCATGTTTCTACTGTGGAAACTTGCTTAATGTACGTTTAGGCAGCTAAAATCAAATTGTACAGCTACCCACAAGTAGTTCCTCTGTCATAGGAAATATATTTAATGAGGGCTGATTTGAAAACGGGACTCTTACTTGGCTATTTCGCTGTCGTTCACTGTAACATTGTAGGACAGTATTGAAGCTTAGCATAGGGATAAAGGCATTGGGTGAAAGAAGATTAACTTTACTTGTAATATTTAATTTATTGAAATTATTGAGTAGAGTTTCTGGAATAAAGCCATCTCTGATCCCAACTTGTGCTTAATGAATCTGCTTTTAGTGTAGGGGTAATTCAGTCCAGGTTTGCCAAGTCGTAGTGCTATAAATATTAAAACGTAGCTGATCTGAGTTGGTCCAGATGCTTCACCCCCCTCCCCCCCAAAAAAAAAAAAAAAAAAAAAAAAAAACATGCAACAGCCCTTTACCACTTTGCAGAATCAAAAGCCAAATTAAGCATCATGTTGTTTTTATGACCTGTGAAAAGTATAGCTAATAAAGCCCTGCTAGGTAAATATTTTCTTACATTTCTAGAATGTTGTAAAGACTTTTCCAAATGTCGCTGGAAGAGTGACGGTCTGAACTAGGACATGTAGAAGGCCTGAGAAGCTCCTCATCCACTGCAGGCTGTCCCATCAGAGGTCCATTCAGTTTTTGGTTTTGAATTTACGAGAGCAACAACTGTAAAGAAACCCAACCTCTGTTCTAATGTCTTCTCAGTGTAACCTTCGACTGGTGCTGGTGAGAAAAAGCCACATGTATAAGATCAGATTTACAATGTGAACAAAAGTGGGGGGCGAAACCAAGAATGCGATCGAGCTCTCGAAATAAAATTGAAGCTCTGAGTTCTTTGTTCCTCTAACGCACACACCAAAGATGATTTTAAAATAATCTGAGCCACATTTGAAAATTTAGTCTAGATTATTTCTTTCACTTCATTGAAGTGATCTCCATCCTGAACGGCTGCGTGTTAAAAGTGAAGAGTGTGTATTGTGGTTGTTTGGAGGGTTTGTACTGTTTAGATTTGCACACCTGTCTCTGACCAGGTCCAAAGGCCCCCGTTGCGCCCCCCCCCCCCGTTCACTCACACACACACACACACACACATCCTTCTACATACCGGATGGCCAGATTACAGGGCATGGGGAAACCATCTGCAGCTGAGACTCAATTACATACAAACATCGGCATTCTGCTGGCCTTTACTGAGACAAGACTGTTTACTTCAGGTCATTACACACACACACACACACACACACACACACACACTTAATACAGCAGGAGCTGCTTGATACTGGGAAACTTGTTGCTCTCACCGAATGAATGTTCAGAATTTTATGCTGTAACGTCTTTTTCTCTCCAGATGGATTTTAGAAAAGTTTTGAAAGATGTGAGAAAAACGTGAACTCGGATCTTTTTTGTCATATTTAGTTTGAGGCAAGGAGCAGAGCCGTGTTCTTTGAATCTCACCTGGCAATCTGTATCCTAGTCATTAGGGTTATCTTTAAAGTGATCTGCTATAAAACAAATGGCACTCTACATTTAATCAGAATTACATGGTTGAAGTCGGGATTTTGTCCCACTTTTATAGGCTGTTGTAAATAGCTTTTTTGAGACGTACCTCGACAGATGCAGCTTCAGTCTTCAGCAAAGACGTCGTTTTATACAAAGCAGTTTGCTGAACTTCTAGACTAAACCTGCTGTTTTTATTGCTCCGTTTTGATACGACTCATTGATAACATATTTCTCTAGTTTTAGTTAATTGTGTTTAAACAAACCTTTGGCATTAGCAGCCTAAATTTGCTGGTGTGTAAGCACAGGCAGAAGAGGTCCCATGACATGGAGACCAGAGGCTGCAGCAGCCTATACGGTCTTTTTCACTCTAAAAATGTCATTTAGAGGGTGGAAAACACTTGGATTGTTGTGGAAAACCTTTAATTTTAATATTTGTGCTCACAAAAATTGGCCATGAAAATGCTGTGTCGTCGTTGGAAGATTATTAGCCACTTATTCAATAAAGCAACAAATCTGTTGGCGTTTTGTTTTGGTGCTGCTGGTGACATTTGGAGACCGACCGGCGCTTAAAAGTGTGCATCATCCTAACTTTTGTCCAGCTGTGGGCCAAACCCCATTTCCAAATCCCTCACACTTGACCTTATGATCACAAAGCAGCCATACCATCTGTAGACTGGGCAACAGAAACCTAACATTTTCCCTAAAATAATTCACCATTCCCATTGTCTTCTAAATGTGTCCAGGTTTTTATTGTAGATTGTAAAAAGAAAACAATGTTTTAAAAAAAGCTTGTTGTCTCTGAAGTGGCCCATAAAGTTAACAGCTAAATTACACTGAAGGAAATTAAAATGTATAACAAATACCTTGAATACTGCTGTAGAGGTTGGTTTTGAGCCACTTTTACAGCCCCTAAGCCTGAATACAGGTGACGGGTTTGAATTGGCAGATGAAACCACATTCATAGCTCTCAACACATTTAGATCTCCCACAATGCCATTTGTCTGTCAACTATGCGAATCAAAGCCATTCAGAAACTTCTTGTAACTTTACTGAGAAGTTGGAAACGGCATCACACAGGGTGAAGATAAAAAAAAAAAATAAGTCACAGATCTAAAACAAGTATCGGGAGGGGAGTTTCATCCTAGACTCGGGTATTGATCCTATCATAATCAGTGCTAATTCACTGATTATTAGTGATCAGCTAAGGGTTAAAACAGACGCCATGGAGACCAGGAAGCCCTGATCAGGCAATAACCTCTCAAATCCGGTCAGATTTTTAGTATTTTGTGAGAAACCTCGTCTCTCAATAAACAGTTGCTCTTTTTGCCTCTAAAGTCCAGTCTAATTGATAGCTGCCTCCCCCTCCCCTGCCTGTTTCTCCGCCTTGTTTTTCTCAGGGCCTGTCGATGAGGACCAACTACGCTGCGAACTACGCTCAGCCAGACATGGGCACATCTAACTACTTCTCCTTCAATATGGCAGCTTTGGCCACCATGTCCAACCAGCAGCTGGAGGTAAGTAATGAGCCCCATATGCCTCCCCCCACAGCACGGCGCCCCACATTCCTCATCCCTCCCCTCCGCCGCCCCCACTCACTCCTAATTGTGACACCAGTCTAGCAGCGGCTGACCAGTTCATAATGTCTGGGGCGGCTATTAATACACAGTCACTGAGGGAGGGGAGATGCACACCGCAAAAGGCAGCTTGGTGTTTAATGCAAGTCAAAAATACTTCAAACTTCAACCAATTTACATGTTTATAGAAGCTCTTTTTATTTGGAATTCCTGGAAGTGTTGAACAGTAAAAACACAGATCTCCATGGGAGACATTTACTGTTGGTTTGTCACTGCATGGAGTCTTTGTACTATTTTTATTTACTATATTTAAAGAAAAATCCATGGACTCCGTGGTTGTCTTCGCCCCCCTGCTGCGGTGAAAAACTCACCTGTTTCTAATTGAATGTTTCATTTCTCTTCTACGTTTCATCCAGGACCTCATAAACCAGGGACGGCAGAAAGTCATTGAAGCAACAAACGCTTTGAAAGCCTTAGCTCGGGAGTCGATGGAAGACGTCATTGCCAGAATAGTGAGTTTTAAAAGCTTTAAATCGGTGCGGATCACGGCTCCCAGTCGTTAATAAACCTTCTCCCTGCAGTGGAAGGACAACCCAACGCTCACAGAGAGCCAGGTCCAGGCGCTCTCGCTGAGGCACCAAGCCACCGTGGAGATGGAGCTCAAGCGCAGGGAAGGCATTTACAGAGAGGTCCTCAACAGGCAGCAAACGGTGAGACTGACAAAAAAATAAAAATACCGTGTTGTAGTTTTGAATCTCCTTACCTTTGCATTTTTGATCTCTATCCATTTCACCTTGGAATAATAACATTTTTAACTCTCGGATTATTGTACAAAATCGTGTGGATCTAAACAAAGCTGTAGGTTGGGCTCTTTCACATGTTCTTAAAAACAGTTTAGTAGTCATTAGATTCTCCCAGCGTTATAATGCCATGCAAAATGGATCACAGGCTACGAACACTTCAGAATGACATGGTTACAGTAGTAGCCATTAAACAATGCTGCAGCCATTACAAGGGCACAGTGGTAACTATGTAGTTTGTCATATTAAAAATACAAACTTAAGTGGATTTTATGTAATGGACCTATTTGAATTGTTTCATAATTTTATTTTTTTAAAACAAAGATTTAAAAAAAAAAACTACAACAAATGTTTTGTTGTATTTTGCGTCCTTCACTCGGATTCCCTTAAATCCAGTGTGTCAAACTTTCTTTTCAGGCCACATCAAGATCACCAATGATGGTTGCGGCAGAATGTATAGATAAAACTATTAAACTGTTAAAATATTATAGCTTTCTCTGCAATCAATTAAATAATATCAACCATATTATCACACTGATGTAATTTGGCTCTATGCAGATAGGAACCCAGTGTTTCAGCATCTTTGCAGTTTTCTGGAAGTGTTTTCCAGGTTTGTGGTGTGTAGAAACTGAATTCTCCTTGGCCATGGATCACCTTGTTCTGGATTATAACAAACAGCCTGGACGCTCCCTCTCTAGCCGTGTAAAGCTGAGAGGCTTACTTCAAAAGACTCAGAGATGTAATGGCAGGAAAATATTTAGTCATGGCGCTGACTATATATGTGTGTGTGTGTGTATGTATATATATATATATATATATGAAATAGGCTAAAATATTGATATAATTTATTATTTTATTTCTACTTCACAATCAAGCACCCCTTTGTGTAGGTGTGTCAAACAAAAAGCGATGCCTGTCTGTATACATTTAATGTCCGTGCGTCTGACTTGCGATCCTCTTCATGTATTTTTGTTGTAAACACCGACGTCTCTGTCTGCGTCTCCCCAGCTGATGGTGTATGTTCAGAAGCTGATCACCAACAGGAAGGTGCAGGAGCAGCAGCTGGCCATGGCCAACCAGGCCACCTACCTGAACCAGCTGGCCCTGCAGAACGGCATGATGGCAGGCGGGATGAGCCAAATGAACCTGCTCGGGCTTTACCAGCGCCTCCACGGCATGGGCGGCAATCAAGGCGGCGGCAAGAACCCGGGCCCCTCACAGGGCATGTAGGGTCAGCTCGGGGCCCCTCTTTTCACCCCACGAGTGGACAATCTGGTTCCCAGCAGCCCCCCCTGCTGTCTGTGACAAAACTCGCTGTGAGACCACTCAGAGCTCAAATGTAACCAAGCAGAGACTGCTGTCTGCTGGGGCCTCTGATTGAATAGTGTTGTGCTGTGATTCACTGAGAGACGGTAAATATAATGTATACATGACTGTGTTAAAGGTTTGTCCAGAAGGTTGACAGGAAAAAAAAAAAAATGTATATACCACCTTTATGTTATTCAAGATCTGTAGAATCACTTTTCATGTATTTAACAAAACAAACCTGTTTTACCCCCAATGCTTTTTAGCATTGTATTGTTTTCCCCTTCAGAAAGGGTTTCCTTGTTATTTAAACTCAGTTTTTTTATACGGTTTTAAATGCCTACCAACATCCGAGTGGGACCACAACCATTGGTTACAGAACTACAGGACAAGATAAGCTCTGATTATTAGTGATTCCTCATCAAAAACCTAACAAACTAGAACAGCTGTTGGTGCTGCAAAGTCCTGCTTATTTCAGGAAGTAGAAGAAGCTAAAAACGTCAACAAAAAGAAAAAAAATGGCCTTATATAATTTCCTAAAAAAAGAAACAAAAAAAGGATCTCTGTAAAAACTTGAGATTTGTTGTGAATATTTTCTATTCTGCTTTTAAGTGTTTACATTAGTTGTTGCTGAAAATGTTAATGGAATGCTTGTGTTGTCCAGAACTGCCTGCTGGCTCCGATTATCTTTTTCTTTTTTGTAACATCATTCTTATTGTGATGTGTTGCCTAGCATAGCACTGCGTGTTCCTGCTCATTCATGTACTTTTTTTTTCTTTTTCTTTTTTTTTCATTCATTCGTTTCGCTTGTGTTGATTTCCCCCAGTTGGGTGAGTTTGCAGGGCCTTGCGAAGCTCGGGCCTCTTCAGCTGGGCGTCACAGGGCCCAAAACTTTGCTCCGAATCTGTCTTTGACATTTTGAAATATCCCTTTCAGAATGGACTGGACAGGAGGAGCGAACGACTGGAATTCTTATTATACGCGGCTGATTTCGTCCGGTGCTTTGTGAGTAATGCTCTCCTGGACGCTGAAGTTTCACCAGGCTGGGTCCCCGGACGACTTGTATTCTACTTTGGCACATTCTTTCTTCTAAGAGCTTAAACCGGTGTCGCCATTTAGCAAAAGGAAGGTGGACTGTTCTCACCAAGAGTTGACTTCTATGTTTGCACAAGCTGTGTTTTCTAAATGTAGAATAAGTTACTTCGCCCATTATCGAAGAATGTTCTTGCGTTAGCAGATACACCAATGTGTTTTGCCATTAATGAACTGCTATAATCTTCATAAGTATTTAATATAACATTTAATAAAGTGACCAAAACAATGAACAGTGAGTGTGGGAGTCCTGCTTATTGACCCGGGACAGCTGTCTGCAGTTAGAGGAATGTTGGAGTTTTAGTTTGGTCATTTCTGCTCTTCCATTTAATCATTTATTTCAAATTGAAAACTAGTTTCAGGTGGAGCTGTGCAAAAAAATTCAAAATGGAAACTTTAAGGGTTCATTCCCAATCTTGGAAGTGTATTCTGTTTGCTTTCATTATTTTCAAAGTCTGGATCAGTATGGAATGTGGAAAAGAAAAAATATCTAGACTTATGATTCTGTTATCTAAAAGATTATAAAATTAAACAATCCTTCACAACTGTAATTTGCATCTTTGTCTTTGAAATACCACATTTAACCATAAACATTTGTTAAAGTAAAGATGGCAATTTTTTTTTTTTTAAGGAATTGAAGTTTAGTGCTGTGTTATTCATTCCATATTTGACAAATGTATTGGTGATTTTAAAGTTGATGTACTGTGCCAGAAAACATAAAAATAAGTAACCAGTACCATTTTACCATGCTCCTGGATCGGAAGCCTTTCCTGGCATCCTCTTGTAACAAACTTTATAGAGTACATAAATAATAAAACCCAAATGGCTACCTTTTTTCCTTTTCTTAAATCCACCTTAATCTCACCTTCTGAAGACACTAACAGTTTTTTTCCAGAGTTTTTTCTATGGATCTTTAGCTCCTTCAGAGTTGCAGCTTCTGATTGATGTTTTCCTTGCCCAGCCTGTTTTGGCTTCGGTTCCCAAACTCTGAAGACCTTCTGTCCTCCAAAACACCTGAATCAAATGAAAAGCTAATTACCAGGCCTCCACAGAACTGAATGACTACTGGTGAATGAATTCAGCCATTTGATTCAGACTATATTTGATTTTTTTTTTTTTTTAAACGTAAGTTGTATAATAAAACATTTTTTGTCACGTGAGCAATACCGGTTGGTGGCAGTAATGGTCACCTAATATTTTGCCAACAGCCAATAAATCTCAAGAAGAAGAAGCTTTGATTCAAGGTGTTGGCACGTTAAAAAGTTGGTATGGTATTCCTTGAGGGCTGGAGTTGGAGATCCCTGGTTGTGGTGGAGTGTCTTATGGTAGGTTTATAATTATGCTATGTTGGATGATGGCTTGAAAAGTGCTTTAGATTAAAATAATTTTATAATCCAACTCTGCTTTAAGCTCTTCCGCAACTTTCTCCCTGACCTGCCGTCTGTTTCCCTCGGTCTTAATGATGATTTGTTCACTCGTATTCTCTGAGGACGTCACAGAACAGCTGTTGTCATACTGAGATGAATTGGGGTGTTTTCACTCGGTTTAATTGGGGACATTTATTACATTTTCATCTGGTGCGGTTTGACTTCACAGTGCACTGTCAAACGAACCAAACCCTGTGAAAACCCTGTTCCCCTCCTCGCCTGCGGGGGGCACTGCACCAAGGACAATCGACGCGGAAAACCTCTGAAGACATGAGCACAGCTTCCTTCTTCATGTAAATGTAACCTGGTTGTAATTCTCTTTTGTTATAATTACACAAAATGTCTTTTTTTGATTATTTGTCTTGTTCCTTATCTTACTGAAACACCTGTCATTGTTTTAACCGTGTTACTTTAAGATCGGAAGCCCCTCCTTTTTATTTCTTCTTCTATGGTATTGTCTTTAAATTGTTTGCGCCCCTTAGCCCCTCCCCTTTTGTCATGTTGTCCTGCGGGAGAGGACTTGGAGCAGGCAGCCTTTAACACGGTTGTTTTGTCTGTATTCTCGTCAGGTATGTTGTACAAAAATGTTTATTTAGTTTTTTTGTAAGTTGTGAGAGGTGTTTTCCCCGCCCCTTTTGTCATGTTGTCCTGCGGGAGAGGACTTGGAGCGGGCAGCCTTTAACACGGTTGTTTTGTTTGTATTCTTGACAGGTATGTTGTACAAAAATGTTTATTTAGTTTTTTTGTAAGTTGTGAGAGGTGTTTCCCCCCCCCTTTGTCATGTTGTCCTGCGGGAGAGGACTTGGAGCGGGCAGCCTTTAACACGGTTGTTTTGTCTGTATTCTCGTCAGAAATAAACCGAGAATCATCTTTTAAAAGATAAACTGCGTCACGGCCTGTTCACTCAATAACCAGCACAACGCAGAAAAGGATCCGGTTACATAAACAAAAACGGAGTGGCTTTTGCGGCTGTAATATTCCTCTCTTGTCCACTTGCCGTTTCTCCTGTTGGCGCATTTGTTTTGGTTGTATTTACCCAGAATGCCCAGCGCAATAGTGCGCTTCCTGCGTGTCTGGTCGGCTTGGCGTTCATATTGTTTTGGTTCTTGAACTACTTTGTGTTGGTCAAACCTGGTTCTCAAGGCCCCCTTTCCTGCATATTTTGGTAAGTAAAGTTTTATTTGTATAGCAGTTTCAGAGATAAAATCCACATAGTGCTTCACAAAACATGTAGGAAATGCACATCAAGCATAACATGAAAGCAAATTAGTTTGATTTTTAAATCGTTTGCTTGTTGCTGCACACCTGATCCAGATGAGTGATTACCCTGCTTCAGCAACACTAGATGGCATACAGAGGAGGTCAGTCGGTCAGTGGAATCAGGTGTGCTGGAACAGAGATGCATCTAAAGCCTTTGTGATGAGGAAGCCAGGATTGAGAAACACCTGTCTGACACATTACGGGCAGCTGTTTAGTTTGCTTATGCCTCGGCCTGGCCCTGCCTCAGAGATCGAATCACCAGCTGTTTCTCTCACTCGACCAATTAGAGCAAAGAGTTTTAAAGAGATTAAATATGGTTTGAGACGGAAATTGATGAGACATGAATTTTGAAATACTGCCGCATGTGAGCCTGTTTGATTAGACACACCCTCCATCCTGACACACTGTCCACTTATTTTACATTTTATACTCAATCCTTTCTGTCCCACTCTCTCCTCCTGTCCATCTTTCATGTATTTTTCCCCTCGCCCGGTATTGTTTTCATTTCTGACTCTGCCAGGGTTTTCCCCCTGCATGTCTTTGACTTTTCCATTCCCTCCCCCCCCCTGGGAGAGCTTGCTCTCGCAGTGTACTCATATCTGCCAGTAAAGAGAAACATTACAACTATTGCAGATGTTGAAATGTTGATCCCATCCTATCGCAAGCCCCAGATCACCACCACCAGCCCAGGTCTGTGGCACATCCCCGCTGGCTGTCGGCGCAGCGGGCAGCTGCTTCTGTCCATTCAGAATAAAAAAAAGAAAATCTCTGCAGCAGAGGCCCCTGCAGTGAACAGCCAATCACTTCGCCTAATCCACCCTGATGTGTAAAGCCAATTAGAAGCTGAGATCCAGTTGCAAAAGGAATCTGATTTTGTACGGTGGATGTATCTGGGCCAAAGCCTGTGGAGACAGAAGGAGCCTGTGTGTATCGCTTCACAATAAGAATCTGACTTTTTAAGGGGTTTATGAGGGTAAACCAGCACTGTAGTGGTTTTCGCCCCTGGGAAACTAGTGCATATTGTTTGTTGGCTTTTAACAACACTTAGTTTGATGTTTTTAAGCAGGAACACCACAACCAGATGTTATTCGTAGCACCAGATAACGGGGTTCATATGCAGTCTTGAAAGGCTTGGAAATGTGCAACATTTCATCTCAATATTTTTATGCTCCAGATAAGAATGAAAAAGAAAATTTAGGTTTTTCTCTCCCAGACAAATAGGTCCCTGAAAGAGTTGGTGCAACAAAACTGGTTGTCCGAGGAGTTTACGTCTACTTCGGACATAAATATGCTAATGTCAGCTTTCTTCATCTACCACATCAAATCTTGAATTTAACATATGAGGCTTAACCGTCTTGGAAACCGTAAATTTGACCCGTAGATGGTCACTGGCAG